GTCACATTATAACGCCCCCACGGCTGAAAGGGCGAGCATGTTTGGTGGTATGCGGATTCGAACCCGCGACCCTCAGATTGTGAGTCGAGCGCCTTATCCACCTGGCCATGCCAGGCACGGAGGGAGATGAAACCCAGAATAGATGAAATGAAACTGCAATAAGGTATAAATAATGTTACACTCATGTGTCAGGTTCATCCACACCTCTGCCTACAAGATCTTATACAGGCAAAAGAAATTGTGAGATGACAAACTTAAAAAAAAGGTCACACAAAAAATAAGAGAAGTATCCTCACCTATAAGAGAATAAACTAGCCAGATGAGGAGTATAATCCATCCAGTCAAAGTGGAATGGGATAAGTTACTAGAGGAATCTAGCAACAAGAAAAGACATTGCAAATTGCCCAGAAAAATAGTAGTAGAAGTGAGATAATGAATAGCGCATAAAAGACAAAGGAGATGATCTATGTCAAACAATCATACAGGGAAGAAAAGGAGGTTGTATGGAGAAGACATCAAATCATCCTCCCAACCATCTCAAGTTATAGGGAGGAAGTAGCAGTCAGGGATGAAGATTAACCTGTAAATAGTGCAGGAGACATCCAAGGTGAAAAAGTGAGAGTGAAATTTGTGGATCCTGTTATGTAAATAGCCCATTCCTGCAATTAGCCTGAGGAAGCACTTACAAAAGGGCCACACACCTATTGAAAACACAGGCTTGCAAATTTAAATTTCATAAAAGTTATTTTGGTTTTACTAACAGATTTTCCATAATTCAGATATGCAGATTTTGAAAATAATATTCACTTTTTTCTATCAGATAAGGATTTTTTACAAATCAGAAAAAAAAACTTACTTAGATCAAATTAATATTTCATTTACCACAATGAACATTTTATATTTTTATGTTTGTTAACAAAAATACAAACTGAAGAAAAGGGAAGAACATTGATGTCAAATAAATATGCATCCTCATTCATCCTGATCTTTTTGTGAAATCTACATCTTGTAGTCTCAAAACTATGTGTTGTGGTGTTTCTTTTATGTACTGCATCTGGAGCATCTTGTTTCAATAACCAGCAGTAATCAGACATTATACTGATATTCCACCTTCCCTAATACCTCCTCTCCATTTCCCTGATGTCTTGATGAAACCTTTCCCATTGTTCTTTGCTGAAGGTACCAAGATTTACAGGGAAATAGTCAATATGTGAGTGTAAGAACTCAACTTTCAAGCTCCTATTACAACCCAACTCTTTGAATTTATCGAGTATGATGTTGACAATATTTTTGTAATTTGGGTCCTTATTGTTTCCTAAACATTTGTCAATAACATCTATAAAAGTGATCCATGCTTCTTTTTCAACTTTCCTCATTGTCCTTTCGAACTATTCATCTAAAGTCAATTTCCTAATCTGTGGCCCAAAAGAAATCCCTTCAAGTTTTGCTTCTGAAAGAATTGTGTATTGCCTACATAGATACTCGAAAAAGTTGCCATCTTTGTCTAAGGTCTTTACAAACTGCTTCATCAAGCCCAGTTTTATGTGAACTGGAGGCAATAGGACTTTCTTTGTGTCAAACCAAACTTTCACGTTCAATGTTTTTTGATTCTGGTATCAGGCTGACTCTGCATGGCCATTGCTTTTTTATCCAGTACTGATTTCATGCTCTGCTGTCCCATTCACACAAAAAACATGGAAACTTTCTATAACAGGATTATTGACCCAACAACATACAAAAGACTTTTAAGTCTCCACAAAGTATCCAACTACGTTCTTTGTATTTGACCTTATTAAGAAGTTTGAGATTTCCGTATGTTTCCTTCATTGTGAAGGAGAACACCTTTTAGACTTCTTATGGAGGAATCAATGAACAATCGCCACTCACTTAGTTCATAGACTGTACTTCCTAGCATTGGTATTAATTCAGAAATATTGTTGCAATAAACCAGTGAACTTTCTTGTGAAAAGTATGGTATAAACTCTTTCTCACGATTTCTGTACCAGTAAAATGATGTCTGTGAAGAAAATAAGTTCTTTGCCCAAAGTCTGGACCCCAAAATCTCTGAAGAATCCTTTGGAAGGTCCAAATCTCTCACCAAATCATTAAGTTCACCTTGTGTAAAATGTTGTGGTTCACCAGACTTTTCAAGTTGAAAACAATCCCTATCATCATTTCTATTGACATCATATTCAGAATCAGATGAAACTGTATCAAGAGTCTCTGGTGGAGTGGGTACAGGTACATCAGGACCATGAGCAACAGGTCTTATAGCAGATTGAAGGTTCGAATAGGAAATTTTTATTTCAAGTGTTGTAGCCTTGCACGTTACATGAGCAAAAATGGCTCATGCCAGACCACTGGGATTCCAAAAGGCAAAGATTTTTTTTTTTACCTTTAGTCTATTGTCTCAACTCTTTGTCTTGGTCCCCATGTTTTATTCCAAAATACACGAAATATGCTTTTTGGAGGAACTCTGTAATGTTTTGCCTTTGTTTCCTTACAACAATTTTACCATAAATATAACAGAATATGTTTGGGTCATTTACACAACCCCTTGTTGTCATAGTGATGAATAAATAATATTGAAAAGGAAAAAAATAATGTCAAAGTGCATGCACAAACAAATACTATCCAGAAATGACACATCTTGTGGCCTGTTAACTATTTATATACTAACGGTGTGTTTCTTGTGGGCTCTAGAACAATTGATGAGACACTCACATTGCGATTGGTCTACAGAAATCTATAGCTAGTGGTTGTCAACATTTTAAACATAATAAAATGTGTCCCAATTTCAATGAAAATGATTCACTTATGTAAAAGTACATATGATGTTTTGTGAAAATTCTGTATGTGATGGAGAAAAATGGATATTTTCAGATTCAATGTACAGGAATTACTGTAGAACATGTAAAAATTTCAAGACAATAAAACCTTCGTAGGCCTGTGTAATATAAATGTTATTGCTAAATCTCTGATAGTTATTTATACCTTTTAAGCAGTTCTTTTGTTTTACAACTCTCAACATCATTTGCCCCAACACACATTACAAAAGAGAATTTTTCATAGTATTAACAATTATATTGTCAACATTCTCTCTAATGTTCTATAGTTTAGTATCTGAAAGGCAAATTCTAGTTATAATCTTTCTATCATCTGTACTACAAATAACTTTATCAGTGTACCTAATAAGAGAGTCTCACATTAATCATATATAAACTTATTATCTCATTCCTCACTGCAACTTGCAAGTTGCCAGTTTAGCACAGTAATCAATGTACAGCATGAGAGAGCATGTCATTCCAAAAGTAATAACATAACTTAGCATAGAGACAACAAGGGTCATCTGGTCTTTCAACTTCAAGGATGTCCATGCACACCCACCTTTATAAATTAAATATCGACAACTTGAACAAGTAGCACTGGAACTCGATAAATGAGTCCACATACTGAAATTTTTAGTGAAAGTTATACTTATTTTTAAACAATTATTAAACACTTGAGTCCGAGATTGGTAAATATCCCAATGTCGATGGTGAAAGTAAAATCTAAACTGTTACTATTGTTACCAAGTTAGTGTTACTAAATGCAGAATAAAAAATTAAAGTTAAAACAAAGTGAAAGTAGAACTTCTACTAGAAGTAGAAGTACTAATACTAATAGTTATACGAGAATAAAAATATTCACAAAACATTACGTACACGAGTTCAAAGCAGCGTATAAATCCATCGTTATATACAAACTAAAAATTCCAACATAGGACGAGAATTCTTTAAGCTGAAAATTGCAAACGTATAGCTAAGAAAATCTGTGACATAACAATATACCAAAACACATCACAGACACCATTTAATAAAGTCGATCGTCGCGTATCCAGTGGTAAATACTGGAGCTAGAGAATATCAAAACTTGTTAATGAAGAATAAATAAACAGTTTTATTATTGAAATACAAACGAACTGCATAATATAACCCGATTTGAACTTTAATTTGAAAATTGGAATCGGCATAAGTAATGCGCCTTTGAATGATGGAATGAAAAGGATGGAAATTGACTATTAATAAAGATAACTGCATATTTATTCCACACATACATACAGATACAAAATTAATAATTACATTGTTTGTTTGTTTTTAATTGTGCACAAAGCTACACAAGGGCTATCTGTGCTCTGCCCACCACGGGTATCGAAACCCGGTTTCTAGCGTTGTAAGTCCGCAACACATACCGCTGTGCCACTGGGGGCAATTACGTTGATATAAAATATATATAATAAAAAATATAGAATTATTAGCAAAAAATATTACACGTAATTATCAAAAACATTTTTGTTTTCTACTACGGAATACGTTCATTTTAGCATAACATAACTAACGGGTAACAACAGAACATTTGATCCTTCAACACTGTCCTTAACTTTTCACTCTGGATTAATCATCAGGATTTAGGTCTTTTGACAACCTGGAAGGGTCAGTTTTTAATATACCTCTTCCTCTCTCCTGTACTATTGTTATTTGTGTTCTTAATTTTAGGATTTTTTTTTTCAGTAAGTTGGTTTGGTTGTTATCTATTTCTATTTACAACTTTCCTTTTCAGGCCTATGTTCATATAATGTTATCCTTACTTTTTAAGGTTTTGTTTTGAATTTTGCGCAAAGCTACACGAGGGCTATCTGCGCTAGCCGTCCCTAATTTAGCAGTGAAACATTAGAGGGAAGGCAGCTAGTCATCACCACCCACCGCCAACTTTAGGCTACTCTTTTACCAACAAATAGTGGGATTGACCGTCACATTATAACGCTCTAACTGCTGAAAGGGCGAGCATGTTTGGTGAGACGGGGATTCAAACATACGACCTCAGATTGCGAGTCAAGCGCCCTAACCACCTGGCCATGCCGGGCCTACTTTTCAGGAAATCGTTGATTCCTCCCTTAAACTCCTGTAAAGTTCTGATCCTCACTACAGTCAATTATAACTCAATTCATAAGTCAATCACCTTGTTACAAAAAATAAAACTATCTTAACTGGAGCTTAGCCTGTCTTTAATAGCAAGCAAAGCAGTAGGGAACATATTTTGCAACCCCTAACTTGCAAACAACAGAGTTCAGACTTCTTTCAACCAAATTACATTATGGTGTAACAATGACAGATTATTGTTTTCTAAAAAGTTTAAACAATAAATTTCCTAGATTGAAGAAAGACAAACCAGAAGTTTGCGACACATTCAGTCATAAGTTCACTTGGAACTCACACTTCAATAGAATTCTAAAAAAAAAAAAGCCCATAACAATTAGTTACGACCCTCCCGATGTATAGGATATCGCACTGAGGGCTATAAAATGTCCACTCTCTTACTGATCTACAAAGCTTTCTTTAAACCACTAATAGAATATTACTATGTGATAACTTATGTGGTATAATAATGCACCATGGGTTTCTATCTTCTTCTATGATTATAGCATTTATTCTGAATTTATCATATATTCTGTATATGTGCAGGTTTCATGTAACACTCTGTTCAGGAAGGGGTTGAAATTATTTTCTTCTACTTGCCTTTGTTATTCTTGATAAGACTGCATCTATTCTGCCAGCGTTGTGCATAGATGTCGACAGGAGTGCCCTTAAGTGGTAGTTCAGGTGATACTTGGAGGTACTGCCTCACCTATGTTCGAATGAGAATGAGCAGTCAAATGAGTGTGTTAGTCACTCTGGGTAAATATTTCTTGCGAAGTAAGGAAAATTCGATCTAAATAGTTTGTTAGATGAATTTAGTTTGATCAGTTGAAGATTAACATAACACCCAATGAAAGCAATCGCTCCATGTCAGTAAAACAATTACACAACCTGTGTTTGTGTGAAGTGTAATATTCAAAAACATTGTTTATTTCATGCTTCACTTTGTGTCCAGTTTCTTCATTTCATTCATTCTCAAAGCTCAGTTATTTAGCACTACTTAGTACAAAATATCCTGGTCAAATTTCCTGTTATTTTGTGACTTACTTCTCATAAGTAAATTCAATTTTACCTAGATATATTACGCTTGATAATGTATGATAATACTTTCCATAAATTTCACATGTTTCAAATCAACACATTACATGTGACACATCACCCCCAAACTTATACTCTTACATGCTATATGACAAAGTTTTGACTACTTCAACAGTAAAAAAAAAAATATTTTCTAAATTCTACAGAAAAAAATAGTACAGAAATTATATCTCAGAACAAATTTCTCTCATAGCAGCCACCTTATACTCATGGCTAAAATATACTTACTCTTTCAATTTAATTCTAAATATCACCTAATACTCTGGTGTGCTAATAGTTCTAGGTTTGTCCTTTAATTGCGAGTTTTAATTTTCCATGTTTAAAATGTAAGCATTTTTTTCATTTTATCCTAACTTTTCTTTTAGCTTTAATTTTGGGTTTCAGTTTTGTTGCCCTCTGAGTGACAATGGAATTTTCTTGGGACTCTCTCAGTTTTTTCTTTATGTGATTCTTTGATATAGGATTTATTGATACCATTTGGCTGCAGTATACTCTACTATCAATACCACTGACTTCAGTCAGAGCCTTTTTCCTGTGCATTGACTGTTATTGTTGTCAATTTTCTGTTTAGTAATCGCATTTGTACATGTGTATCTAAATCTCCAACTGTAATGTTTTTATACCTTAAAAGTGATACCCTTTATCTAAAAAATAATAGTTTTTTATAGTACTATATTATATTCTCCAATGAACCAATGGTAAGTTTATAGATTTAGAATGCAAAAATTCGGGGTTTGACTCGCTGTGATGGACAGGGCACAGATAATTTACTGTGTAGCTTTGCCCTAAAAGACAAACAAACATCTATACATATATTATAAAAGCCACTCTCTGGTCGTAATGCTCCATTTGTCGGTAACACCTGACTCTCTGTTGGTAACGTCCAAATTGGCTCAGTGGTTTGTTTCAAGTAGAAGTCTCGAGCTCAAATTTCAGTCGAGTAGGGATTTTTTATAACTTTTATTATTTACTAACTCATCATGTTTTGAGAAAGATTACAATAGTAGGAAAAAGCACAATAACATGACACTTTACATTAGGGATTTGTATTATTTGTTAACACTTAATTGTAAAGACTGGGTGGTACGATTGTTATAGTGTTTGACTATTATATAGAAATCTCAAGTCCTAATCAGGTCGGAATTTTATGGTAATTGTTTTTATTATTATTCTATTTATTTTTTGTATATTTATTATCATATTTACAACAAGCTCCTGGAATATTCATAAGAATACGAATACAATAATAGATTATATAAGAGACAATATCATATTACATACTAAATATGACTGACTGTTGTGTCATAAACAACTTAAATATCCTATAAATGCAAGAGGTGGTGCTACAATACATTGTTATTTAAGTTTTTCCTCTCCAATGAGAAAATTTATAAGCATTTATATTCCTTTTTAATGAAAAGTTATACCTTCGTGAATTTATACCTTTGCTATAAAATTCATCGCCTTTGCTATC